CTTTTCATTGTTATATTTGAGCATCACATTATTATCCTAATTCTGGAATGATCTATAAATATTCAGAAATAAACTCTAATTGTACAGCTAGTTTTGTGGACTGGGATTTTACCATTAGTTCACAAATCACCGAGCTAGCCCTTTCCTCTGAACTACAAATAATTAAAACTATGTGATACATACAGTGTATAACTGGTACAAAGAACGGAGCTCTATCAAGACATATGAGCTTAAGCTTTATCAGTGATCTCATAATTCCTGTTGAAAGAGAAGCAAACTATGTTTTTAAATCAATAGACTAAAAGCCATCATTATAAATACAGGAATGAGAACTCTACTTTCACTTAAAAACTATGCTATGTACAATTTTACACAACAACCAAGGAAGAAACTGACTTTGTTTATTGTTATTTTCTATAGTCTGAATTTTTAAAAAATTATGAAAATTAATTATAGTAAAAATAATATCCTATTCTCCTAACTTTTCTCTTTTATTTCTTTCCCTTAAATTGAGATATATAAAAGTTAAACATTATTTTAGAAGGATTTATTATTAATTAAATGCCATGATAGTTTAAAACAAAAAACTAAATGGTGGTCACAGTCATAAAAATTTGCAACATTTTAGTGAAGATAATTTTTGAGGAAATGACTGGGAATGTAGACTCTATTCACAAGAAATTAACTCTGACAATTTTTTTTTGAGTCTTTTATTTATGTAATAGATACTGTTTCTCTATTTTTTAAGAAAAACTTTTTTTTTTTCAGGTATAGGCCTGGCTTATCTGTTATGTTCTAATAATTGGCCGAAGTATCTATCTTTATTTTAGGAAATTTGTGCACATGTCAAAATATATTTATTATATCTTATGTCATTATTGGCCTGGTTTAAAAATTTCATCAGTAGGTACTTGAATAGAAATGTGTTCTATTTTGCTATTGGTCTTACTAAAACTAAAGCTAACTGATTTGTCTTGTAGCTGAAACAGTTTGAAGAATGTTGTGACATGGTAATTTTTCCTTTAGGAACACTGGCCGTGTTTAGGCCTTTGCAAAATAGCCGCATTGTGAGTCTACTAACGTTTTTTCACAACATTTTATTCTCCTCTTTGGGATCTCTCCTGTGTATGTTGTTTTCTTAAGATTTTCCAATACAGCTGCTTGAGACCTTAGATGGCCTTGTGATTCCTCCTCCAGTATTGAAACTTCTGCCCTTCAGTATAGGTAAGACTTGTGAACAAAGCAGGTGTTACTCTAGTGGTGAAATTTTGTTATAAGGCAAAGGAGAAGGGATTTTGTAGATGTAATTTAGCTTCCTAATCAGTTGAACTTATGTTAGTTAAAAGAGCATTGGGCCAGGGATTTAGCTCAGTGGTGCCACTTCCTGCTTTGGAAGCGCAAGGTCCTGAGTTTGTTGCTAAGGTCCTCAGGATCTTATTTGATTTTTTCATGAGGAAAGTAAACGCTTAAAACATGCTAGAAAGTTTGTTGTGAACTCACAATATTGCAGTTAACCCATATTTTAAAGCAATCTTAAATTTCAGTTCATCTAAATGATCAAATAGTACAAAGATTTCAGCGCCTCAGACAAACCCTTTTATGCTTATAGTTTAAATAGCATACCATTGTTTTCACGTATAGCCTTAGCATTTCTCTAGTCCATGCCCTGAATATCATACTGGATTGGAAGATAAACGTCCTCCTACTTGCCGATGCTATTTTAATATTTCATAGCAGAGGGAACTTTATAAATAAAAGAAAGAATTTGAACTTTGTGATGACACCAACTCAAGATTTCTCAAATGTGGCACCAGCGATATTTGGGACAAATAATTCCTTGTTGCAGAGTACTGGCCTGTGTACTGAAAGATGTCTAACAACATGCTTGGTCTCTAGCCAATACATGCCAGCCACAGCCCTCCACCACCACCACCACCACAAATCGTCACAGAAAATCCCTTCAGATATTGCCAAATGTCTCCCAGGGAGAAAAATCCCTAGCAGGTGAGAATCATTGCTCTAATGGTACATCTTCAACAATTTAGAAAATGACTTGACTTCATTGTATTTATTTATTTATTTATTTTTGTATAGGGCCTATAAGTTTTATTTATTTTAATTTTGTGCAAATTCTCATGGCACAATGTGATAATTTAATACAAGTATACAATGTATATTGATCAAATCAGGAAAGTTATCTTTCCATCTCAACATTAAAACTTTTATTAACACATAATAATTACATGTAGTTATGGGATAGAGTGTGGTATTTCAATACACATAAGCTATATGTGTTGATCGTGTCAGAGAAATTAACATTTTCTCTCTCCTTGTTATTACATCATTTTAATACAAGAGGATTTAGCTAACATTTTGAAAATTCTTCTCCGTATTGGTGAATTGGAGCTAGGTCAACCAGACAGCACAATTGGTATTGCAAATGTATTCTTATTTCTGTGTCTTTATCCTCATTAATAATTAGGACATAGAACTAAAATCTTTTAGCACTTCGTGAATAGTGTTCAAGTCTTACTCTCCAGAACGTATTTTTAAAGCACTTATTTTAACTTTGACAGCACTTGCAATTATTGTCAAAATATTGAAGGTGCTTAGGAAGTGTGGTAATTGGTAGAAGTTAAGCCAGCACAAAGACATATCTGGGAAACTCCTTGAGCTTATGAAAACTTCCTGATTTGCTCTGCTTGGGTTAGGAATCAATGAATGGATGTTTGATTACTTAAAAGAACTACACATTTTGTCCATGTTCCCATTTGCTTACATTTTTTCAGCTGTAGCAGGAGGAATTGAGCAAATGTTGCTTATGCATTTTGAAAAAAAATCCTGTCATGTTTTTGTCTCATAAAATAATCTCAGCAATAAATCATCTTATATGTTGTTTTAAACTGGTTTTATAATTTCTACTTAACCTAATTTTTATGATTTCCTGAAAATTGAAAGTTCCAAGTTCTGTAAGTCAGAAGAGAATAGGATGAAAATTCTCTGGTTAATTTATTTCCTAAAAAAACCCTAAATTAAATAGTGGAGAAAACAGCACAATTAAGAGTGGGAACTAGGTAATCCAAACAAGGGAGGGTATATATTAATCAACTTTCTGCCACTGTGACAAAATACATGGGGAAATTAAATGAGGAAAGTTTATTTTGGCATATGGTTTCAGAGGTTTCAGTACATGATATTTGGCCCCTTTGAGATCAGTTCACCTCATGACAGCTGGGAAGAAGAAGAATGAGAGAGAAAGAAAGGGCCCAGACCCCAATAATTTCTTTCAAGGTCACACCAGATGGTGACCTGACTTCCTTCCTTCAGGCTACATCTCCTAAAGGTTTCTGTACCACTCAGATGCCCCACAGGATCCTTTGCAGGAATTTTTTTTAGATCTAAACCATAATGGAGAGGTATAGGAAAATTGGTGGCCAGGAGTCTAATCTGCTCAAGTTCTATCAAACTCCATTTTCTCACATTGCAAGAAATCTCCAGGAACAAGAGAGGATGGATTCTTTTCTGCTCAGGATTTTTCTAGGAAAACTCATCTTAATGTAACATGGTTTGCTCCATGCAGACCTTTCTGGTTTTTTCCCCTGGTCACACTCCACAGTACAAGGGTAGGTGGATAAGGAGGGCTTCTTCGATCAGGTACATGATGTACACAGGAACATATCTTCTCTGTCTCATCTTCGGGTTAATCCCAAGTCACTGTAGAACCCCACCCTCAGCTTCATGCTATTTTTCTTTGCTCCATCTTGATCGTACTTGAATGAAACAATTCATTCAAAGAAAGAACCAGTGTACAGGCCATTCTGTTCCTAGCAGGCTCTTCTGCATGTGTATAAATTCATTGTCAAATAGATACACTTTTGGGAAGAGCATGAACTTTACACACAATCTTGCATAGTTCTCAGAAGCTTGCCAAGCAAAAATATTCTATACTTTTTCATATCAGTAAGTAGATTACTTTTCATACTTATGAACATTACTCAAGTATTATTTTCCAAAAAGCAAGGATCTACACAAAAGGTAGATTTTACTGTCTATCCTAGCAGGAAGAAACTGCCTATAATTATGAAAGATATACAATTTTGAGCTCCAAAAATCTTAAATGTCCTCTATGAATTCTATAACAAGAATTTTAACTAGGGCATTTTGATAGTTCAGTGAATAATTTGGCTGTGATCCATGATATAGCTAAGTTATTACAAAGTCTGCTATATAACAAATATTGTTCTGATGTAATTGTGTGTTTGGACAGCATATGTAGATAATGCCTAAATAAATATCTGTGGTTTTACAACTTTTCTGGAAAGAAAAATAATTTTCTGGAAATTATTATTCTTATTTTTCTCCTACTATGACTTTATATTTCTTTCATTTCCTTCTCACCATTGTTTACTGATAATTTAAATCTTTTACCATTTCTATCTCTGTTTCATACAGAGACAAGGAAAGAGGGAAGGAGGAGGGAGGGAGGGAGAGAAAGAGAGAGAGAGATCTTATATCAACATTCCTTGTTCTTTAAGGAATATATACTCTCTCTATTCATCACCTTTCATTCTCCAACTACCTCTAACTCCAGTCTGAACTTCTTTGATTGTTTGAAAATCTACTTTTGCTAAGGCCATTTTTAACTTTTAGGTCATTAAAAGTAATAAAAAATTATCAAGTATATCTTATTTGATCTCTCATTAGCACTCAACTCTGGCCTCTCATCCTGTCCATTGCTCTGCAGGTCAAGGTAATCTCTTGGATTTTCTTTTATATTTTAAACATATTCCACAAACCCTGTTTATTTTCTGTCAAGGAATTTAAAATCCCATGAATTCTCTTCTAAGCCTCTTTTCTTTCATTTCACATATAAATCTATTAAATCTCATCTGTCCTGGCCCGCGGGTAAGTCAACGGAGACCCTAGAGGGGGAGCGAGGATGAGAGGGGACAGGGGACACGAGAGATGGAGACAAGACAGGTTTCTGATCAAGTCTCGTTTATTGCGGAAGCTGTTACAACATATATACCGTAGGGCGAGAGGGGAGGAGCAAGAGGAGTGTACTGGGGCTACTTCCTTGTTGCCGGGTAGATTTGCAGCAAGCCCGGGCATGTCCGTAGAAGGCACTCAAGAGTTCCAGCGGGGGGGCAGGGCCCCCTACACTCATCTATTCCTATGGTTCCTTGACCCTTATTCACGGAAGACACTTTTTCAGTTACTTTCTTAACAAACCCCTCCAAGATTTAGTGGCTTAAAACAACAGCAATTTCTCACTAGTCTTGGTGTTGAATGGGCTAACACCAATGCTCTCTTACTTCCTGTGGAATTGGCTCTGCCTTGATCACCTGTGTGCTCAGTTATGCTGGGACAGTGAAGAGGACCACTTCACATGGTTGACGTAGGATGTTGGTCATTGGCAAGGAGCTCAATTGCAGCTATCAATTGGAGCTTCAACATGTGTCCTATACTTGTAGCTTGTTTTTCTCACAGCACAGCAGCAGAGATCCAAGGAATGTTCCAAGAGTGAAAAATTCTAAAGGGAAGAAAATAGATACTATGAGTATTTTTGAAAAGCTTGTCTGTGACAGGCATGCTGTCATTTCTACCACATCCTATTTCTTTAGCTATCACTGGACAAGCCCAGATTCAACAGGAAAGGGAAATAAATTCTACATGTTGATGGAAAGAGTAATTAAAAGTGTTTGTTTAGTCCGCAACAGTGATACTTCAGCCACAATTATTCAAATTTGTCTGTTGTGTCCATATTCTTCAAATACATATTCAATATGTTCTATCTTAGTCTCTCTCTATGACTGTATGTATTAAGACACAGTATAATTTTTGAAAAAATAATAGGGAAAATATTTATTATGATCAATATAACTTCATGTATGTTTGTAAGGAGATAGACATTCAATGCTTTCCCTATTTGAACTTATTTTGGTGGTCCCAAACTTCACACTTTGAATTTAGGAACACAGCTTTCTAAACTTAAGTCTGAATTCACATATATTTGAAAGGAATAAATTAAATATCATAGTATCAATGATTATGGAATGTTGGATACTGTAGAGTCTTTTTTTTTTTCAAGAAAAAAACAGTTCCATGTAGAACTTGATATGTATTGCACCTTGAATAATAATTTCACAATGTTTTAGTAACTTTTCAGGTAGCCAAGTGAAATTATCCTAGGAATGTAATCAAACTCGCTTAAATATGCAGAAACACATTGTAGGGTCTTGAGAAACAAAGGATTTTAGAAGATTGTTTTAACAGTAATCTCTTTATTTGGCAAACATAGAAATGTTTCACATAGGCAATCAGTCTTCCACTGGAGTGAATTAGTAATGTCAGATTCTTTGTTCAAAAGAAAATAAAAAGAAGTATGGGATTAAATTAATCTATTTCTATAGATTGGAGGGGTATCTCAGAAAATAGAATGAAGTATTTTATTTAAAAGTTTCACACTAAAAGTACCCTCTCTGGTTTACCACCCTCAGTTAGCAAATCCATGTTAAAGTTTAATGTATCTTATAATTTCCTGAAGTATAAGGCACATTTTTTGATATTTTCACATCAACTCTCTTGAAAGGATATAATTAAATAAAATGATTTCCTATTTCTACAATTACTAGATCAATTATTAATTTAGACTAGAGTTGTCTTTTTATGACAATTAACATTGATTCCTTAGATATGTAAATATGATAATATTACCTATCACTTGATCAGAATTCAATGTTCTAAGTGAGAACAAAATGACTTTAAGAAATATGATATTACAAACCACATTTATAGCATTATAAATTCTTTTAATAAAAATTACAACATCAAAATAAAAGTAGACAAATTAAATGGAAATTGGAAATTTTTTAATGTAAAATACATCTGAAGTTACAACCAAGATGGGCCTAGTGGAAAGGAATGGGGACAAAGTAAGAGAGAAAATATTCTGCTGCCTATACACAAATTACACCCTAGCATAATCTCACATATTTGATTTGTGTGAAGATATAAGTCCCATAAAATATGTAACATAATAGACCTGGTGTCTAATATTCTTTGTATAAGCAACTGTTAACTTTAGGGATTTTGGTTTAAAAATTCTAAATACCTCCAACTATATTTGTAACTGGTCAGTAGTTTTACTAGCATTGCTGATGCGGTAAAGTTGGCTCCTGTATGTGAACATCTCCCAAAACTGTGTAGAACACGCAGTCTGTGACAGAAGTATTTACACAATGGATGTAAACGGGTATACCGAGAGAGCTGTGTATAATATATTTGCAATCATTATAAGTAGTTATTGGTATACTAAATGCATATTCCATCTCTTAAAGTCTAATGCAATGCCTCTGTTATACTTAGAATCATGCAAAGTAAATTGTGTTTGAATCAAATTTATTGCAATTTGCCAGAACCTCCTCATTCAGTGATGATTGGAAAAAAATGAAACAAATCAAGGTGACTACCTAAAGAATGGAAAGAATCACTCTCTAAACTTAAAAACTATTTTGTCAAAAATTTTCTTTGGCAGCTCTACATTTATTTTCCCATGAATACAAACAATTACATGTTTTAATGTTTCTAAACAAGAAATAATATTTATTAGATCCTTCATATTGGAGAATTGAAATTTCAGATTAACTTAGAATCTTAAATAGTTTAATATGAAAATTATTGGCAAAGAAGTTTTGGACATGTAATTCAAATAAAGACTTAACAGGTGATCTATAAAAACATCTAGTACTGAAACTATGTATGTTCTGTGCAAGAAAGAAACTTGAAATTTTTCTTAAATTAAGTCTTGGATATTAATAGTAGTCATATTTATTTAGTTAATTCCATGAATACATTGATCCTTCAATCTTTGTGTGTTGGTTTGGGTCTTCTGGAAAGCTATTCCAGGGCAAAAACTTTTAATCAAACCAGGCCCATGTATGTAAACACAGAAACATACATACATAAAGTGGCGAACACACATAAATACCTATCAAATGGTCTATAATTATGCTTCAATAGAGAATATGTTGATTCATCCATGCCAAAGGCTAAAAAGAAATTTCTCCCAGAAAATGGCATGTTCAAGTACAGTGGCTAAATTTTTTCTACTGATTTATGAGTATAAATGCATGATTCTATCTGTGTAAAATTTAAAAATTGTGTTAATATTAAAATTAATGCAAGTTTGTAAAAATTACTGACAAATAATTGATAACTAACTTCAAATTTTCAGGTAAGAGAGTACATTATTCAGAATTCTGAAATATAAAATCATTGATGGAAATGCAAATTGCTGGAAAATTATATATAACTATAAAATGTATGCATAGTGTTGAAATGCATTCCAAAGAAATATCAGAGATCAGCATAATAATTTGTGAATAAAATGTTCATAAAAACATCCTAAAATAATAGAAATAGAATGACAAACTAAATCTTCAAAACTGGAAATTAATTAAATTTTTAGATTTATATTTTGGACAAGTATGGATCCTTTACAAACATTGAGGCAATATGGAGATAGCTTTAGAATGTAAGCTTTGAAGATAAGCATTGGTTTAAATTACAAAATACATAATCTAATGACTTCGAGTTTCAGCAAGTTAATTTAACCCTCTAGTCCTTAGATTCCTCAAATAAAAAGAGACTTCATATAAATGAATGAGAAAAAATATGTAAGTATGGTGCCTCTTATACAATGAATCTTAATGAATCTCAATCTTAAGGTAGAGGAGGTATAATGGTTATTGAAATATATAACTAAGTGCTATTACATATGATAGAAAATACATATATAAAAAGACAGAATACTAAAATGATGTGTAAAATATGTTTTTATTTAGTAATGTATACATATACTTTATTTATGAATGTTTACTATTTAAATATATTTCTATAGAAGGAAGAATAAGAAAATATTTGCAAAAATAATAATAGGATAAATAAATGACATTTTTCTACCTTATACATTTATTTTCCTCTCCTGACAATGAATATGTACTATATAATGAGAAAACAGAAATTTTGAAAAAAAAGTCTTTTGTGATCTATGTTCACTAACAATGTTGGTAAATTTTTTAGTAGAGGACTTGATTGGCTACATAAGCAAAAACCATCTAGTGATTAAACCACCTTAAAATATACAAAACTGTTCTTGTTAAATTCTTAAATTGTGAGTTCTAACTTTTTCTAAGTCAAAAACTTTATGAAAAAAGTTCTTTGATATATTTTACCAGATTTTAGCTTTGGTAAAGTTATAAATAGTACTTGTCACATATTTAGCATAGACTGTTCCGTGATATAAAAATTTATAATTTTGCTTTTGAAATTCTTGTTCTATTTGTCCTCCCCAATGCAGTCTGCAGGGTTAGAGAAAAGAATGACACAAGATAAGTCAGAAAGTTTGAATTGTGCGCTCACTATTGGCTCCTCTGAGTAAATGTCGTATTACAGTTGGATGTTCTTCTATAAGCATGAAGGTTGAACGTTAGAAGAAATTATTTGACAATTATTCAAGAACAATGCTTTCCTTCTTATTCTAGTTAACATGTATTCTGGAAAACACCACCTGCATTATACATTTAAATTTCCAAAAATTAGAAAATGGTTTCTGAGGTTTTTAGAATAACTTCACATATTTTTAATTAAATTCTTTTATTGGTACATTTTAGGTATACAACACAATTACATTTCTGATTGGGAATTGTACCTTCACATAATGCGTCTTGGTTCTTATTTTTT